TCAACCGACACGATCCTTACAGCCAAACTCAATTCCTTGGGTCGCTTTCAGAGCAGTGTTGGAGGAGAGGAGAGGAGGAATTGAAGGATGGACAGAAGGAGGAAGGGAGGGAAGGAAAGGTGTTGAAGAACGGCCGGGAGGGAAGAATGAAAGGAAATGGAGAAAGGAAAGGATAGAGGGAAGGTATTGAAGGACGGAGAATGGGATGGAGGGGAGGAAGGTGTTGAAGAAGGAAGAAGGAGGATGTAATGAAGGAAGTGGAGAGGAAGGCTGGAGGAAAGGAGGTATTGAATGAAGGAAGTAAGGAAGGGAGGAATATGATGGAATGAACGAGAGAAGGATAAAATAAAGGACGATGTAGGGAAGGAAATGGGGGAAATAAATGAAGGGAGGAAGGAGTAAGAAGAAAAAGAAAGGAAAGAACGGAATAGAAAATAAGGAAGAAAAGAAAAAATAGACAAAAAGAAAGAAGGAAGGGAGAAAAGGAAGAGGAGGAGGAAGAAGAAGAAGAAACGTAATTGGGGTGGTGTCTTTGATGTTGTTTTATTCAGGGAGGAGGAGGAGGAAGGAGGGGTTGAAGTCAGCTGGGTTTGGTCAATAGAAAAGTACACTAAAGATCTTTCTGTTTGTCAGTCAGTCAGTTACTCTTGTTTTTGATGCTGTTTTGTGATGTATAAGTGAGAGATGTTGAAAAGGACCTGAGGATTAGACACCCCAGCTTATGTGTGTATTTAACTATTTATTTTATTTCTTAATTTCTCTTGTTTTTCTTTTCCAGGTAAGGTTGTGACGTCTTGTGTTGTTAATCACCAGTAAGGTAAGTTTGGTAGTGTGTGTTGTAGGTTGTTATTGTTGTTATTTATTATTATTATTATTATTATTATTATTATTATTATTATTATTATTATTATTATTATTATTATTGTTGTAATTTTAGTCTGTTAATTTCTTAGTTTATTTTGTGGCCTTCGTCTCGTCCGCTACCATACCACCTACCATACTTCTGCTACCATGCCTCTCTCTGCTGCCATACCTCTGCTACTATGTCTCTACTACCATACTTCTGCTACCATACTTCTGCTTTACGCCTCTGCTACCACCTCACCATCTCTACCACAACCACCACCACCACCACCACCACCACCTTTCACACAACACCCATCACCCCTTTCACCACACCACCGCCACCTTTCACACAACACCCATCACCCCTTTCACCACACCACCGCCACACCCTGCACCCACACCCACCCTGCACGCTTCATAGTTAATAACAAAAAAATTGCATATATTTTACCCAGCTTTTATAGTCAATGTTGCAAGTTGCAGCCATTTTTAAGCGGCCTTTTCCTTTTTCATTTTGGTGTTGCTATATTTTTCGATTTTTTTTTTGTTTTTTCCCCCATTTCTCAGTTTTTCTCTTTTCTCGTTTTTATTTTATTTTCTTTTCTTTTTTGTTTTTTTTTATTCTAATTTATCGTTTGTTTTAATGAGTATTTATTATTATTATTATTATTATTATTGGATGTTTCTTTATACTTGTTTATCTTATTCCTTTGTTTATTTTTCTCATTCTGTCTGTCTCTTTTACTGACTATGTGTCTGTCTGTCTGGCTTTCTGTTTCTGTCATGTCTGTCTGTCTGTCTTTTATTACTTTCTGTCTCTCTTTTTCTGTCTATGTTGTGTGTCTTTTCCTGTTCGTCTTCTCTCTCTCTCTCTCTCTCTCTCTCTCTCTCTCTCTCTTATTCATTTAAACATTACCATTACTATTTTCCTTCTGACTATTTTATCAATTTTTCGTCCATTTACTACTTTTCGTTTCTTCTAATTTATCCGTCGTATCTTTCCTCATTATTTTTTCCCGAGGAAAAATTCATTATTAAAGAAGAAAAATATCATTGTCGGGAGGAAAAATGTCATTGTCGGGTTACGTCATGGTCGGGTTACGTCATGGTCGGGTTACGTCATGGTCGGGTTACGTCATGGTCGGGTTACGTCATGGGTGTCCGGGTTACGTCATGGTCGGGTTACGTCATGGTCGGGTTACGTCATGGTCGGGTTACGTCATGGTCGGGTTACGTCATTGTTGGACCGGAGGTTTATGTCATGGTCGGGTTACGTCATGGTCGGGTTACGTCATGGTTGGGCTGAGCTAGGAGGATGTGGCTGGGAGGATGTGAGCTAAGAGTATGTGAGTTGAGAGATGTGTGACTGTGAGAGGTGTGTGAACTGAAGGAGTGTGAGCGGAGAGTGGTGTTAGTTCAAGTGATGTTAGCTGAGAGGTATGGATTGAGAGGAGGTGAGGCCGAGAGGATTGTGAGCTAAGGAATGTTGGCTGAGAGTGAGATTGGCTGATGAGGAGTGTGAGCTGAAGTGTTATCTGAAGGGATGATGGCTGAGAGTATGAACTGAGAGGAGTGTGACCTGAGAGAAGTGTTATCTGAGAGGGATGTGAGCTGAGAGGGGTGATAGCTGAGGGGACTATAAGCTGAGAGGGTATTAGCTGATACGTTAGTAGTAGTAAATAATAATAATAACAGGAGAAGCAGTAGAAGGGGAGGGAAGTAAAGGAAAAGGAGGAGGGAGGAGGAGAAGAAAAGGAGGAATAGTAGGAAGAGGTGGGAGGAGGAGGTGGGAGAAGAAGAGAAAATGAAGAGGAGGAGGAGTAGGATAAAATGAGAGAAAGAAAACAGGCCGAGCAGACAGACACAGACAGACAGACACAGACAGACAGGCAGAACAGCGAACAGACAGACACAGACAGACAGACACAGACAGACAGACACAGACAGACAGACACAGAACGAACAGACACAGACAGACAGACAGACACGAACAGACAGACAGACAGACAGACAGACACAGACAGACAGAGCACAGACAGCAGACACAGACAGACAGACACAGACAGACAGACACAGACTGACAGACACAGACAGACAGACACAGACTGACAGACACAGACAGACAGACACAGACAGACAGACATAGACAGACAGGCACAGACTGACAGACACAGACTGACAGACACAGACAGACAGACACAGACAGACAGACGAGACACAGACAGACACAGACTGACAGACAGACAGACACAGACAGACAGACAGACACAGACAGACACAGACAGACAGACAGACAGACAGACAGACAGACAGACAGAGAACAGACAGACAGACACAGACAGACAGACAGACTGACAGACATTTTAAACTTCAGTATTAACACAATAAGAAAAATAAGCTTGGGTGTGTGTGTGTGTGTGTGTGTGTGTGTGTGTGTGTGTGTGTGTGTGCAAAAGACCTTGTTGCTGTGTAGTTATGAGGACGGTGGCCACACACACACACACACACACACACACACACACACACACACAGAACCCGAACATAATATGTAAACTGCCCCTACCCCCTCCATAAAAACAACAACAAACACCACCTATCTCGCTATTGTTGATACAGGTTGTGTAAAAGAGAAACTGGACTTCAATAGATCAGGTTTGTGTTGTTGTGCGCCAAATACATTTTTAAATATCCTGTATATGTAACCTGGACACAATCACCAGAATTCATTGGCAATATTTCAAGTTTTCTTTCCTCTGTTGTACGAAACCCGGATATAGTTGAAGTCATTTAAAATATGAACCTTTTGTATAGAGTGACAGACTGTACAAGCCGGGCGAAATTGATAAATACTTTTTAGCATGGAAATTTTTTTTATGATGTGTGAAGCGTTGTTGTTGTAGTGTGTGTGTGTGTGTTTTTGTGTGTGTGTGTGTGTGTGTGTGTGTGTGTGTGTTTGTGTGTGTTTTGTTTATTGTTCAGAGATTTTTTCAATTTTTTATTTCTTTTGCTCAGCGTGTCCGTGCCTTGGAGACAACAGTCATCTTAAACTAACTAACTAATCATTCAACTCATTAACCGTTTGTCTGCTGGTAGGGGTTCGATCCTGCATACTAATGAGGACCTGCAGCACCACACGGCCTGACCCACACAGCCAACTGGATGAGTGGGAGGGGAGGAGGTGATGGTAGGGGGAGGGTGGAGGTAGGGGTGATGGTAGGGGAGGGTGGGAGGTAGTGATGGTAGGGGAAGGTGGGAGGTGATGGTAGGGGGAGGTGGAGGTGGTGATGGTGGGGAGGGTGGAGGTAGTGATGGTAGGGGGAGGGTGGAGGTAGTTATGGTAGGGGAGGGTGGAGGTAGTGATGTAGGGGAGGGTGGAGGTAGTGGATGGGGGAGGGTGGAGGTGGTGATGGTAGGGAGGGTGGAGGTAGTGATGGTAGGGGGAGGGTGGAGGTAGTGATGGTAGGGAGGGTGGAGGAGTGATGGTAGGGGAGGGTGGAGGTAGTGATGGTAGGGAGGGTGGACTAGTGTGGTGGTGGTAGGGGAGAGGTCGTGGGTGATGAAGGAGGGGAGTGGGAGAAGGTGGTGGTAGGAGGTAGGTGGTGGTGGTGGTGGGGAAGGGTAGTAGTGGAGAAGCGATGAAGGAGGTGGAAAAGAAATAAGAAGAAAGGAGGAAGGAAGAGGATAATAATAATAATAAGACATAATTTAATCGGATGAAACACCTCTGTACCCATATATCCGTCTATATGTAACCAATACCGATCGTCTGTCTGTCTGCCTGTCTGTCTGTCTGTCTGTCTGCCTGTCTGGTACATCTGATTGACATTCCTCACTCTCTCTCAGACAACTTACAAACAACGCCATCTAGCCTTAGGAGAGGATTCCACCCACCCCTCCCCACCCTCCCCACCCCACCTACCCCTCCGCCCCACCTACCCCTCCGTCAATGTAAACAAACAAATTATTTAATCTCTCTCTCTCTCCACGTTGTCATGAGCCGGGGTTCTATTCCTGGCTCTCCACACAGTCTGTCAGTTTAAAACCCAAGACCTGTATAAACACAATGGTAGGTAAACGCCGTCAATCTCATCCTCTTAATTACTACTTACACCTGTGTCCATCACTTTAGCGTACCTTCCACCAGGTAAACTCACCCATTATAATCACTCCTACACACACACACACACACACACACACACACACACACACACACACCTGGAGAGTATTATTATCAGTAAGTCTGTGAAGTAGTAATTTAACTCCTTTTTTTTTCAAGACAGGTGAGATTTTAATTGATGTACCTGGCAGGTGTGTGAGAGATTAAGTAATTGTTAGCCTCACCTCACCTCCTTTTCACCTTTTCCTTTCCTCCTCCTCCCTTCCTTCTATCCCTTTCTTTTTCACCACTTCTTCCTTCTATCCCCCCTCCTTCTTTTCCCTTCCTTCTCTATCCTCCTAGGCTCCCACCACCTCCTTCCCTCCCTTCCTCCTCCGTCAAAACACGAGGTACTGATCTTCTCTCCTGAGTCACTGTTTCATAATCTATAATCACGCCGTTTGAAGCTGGTAAATTGTGTTATTTTATTTTGCGCTACTACTACTACTACTACTACTACTACTACTACTACTACTACTACTACTACTACTACTACTACTACTACCACACAAGGTTCTCTGCTTTTCGCCTTCCTCATCCTTTGACAAACATTACCTTGTCCTCCCTCCTTCTCCTATTCCCTCCTCCCCCCATCTCTCCTCTCTTCTGCCTGTCTTCTTCCTCTTCTCTCCTCCCTCCCTTCAATTCCCTTCCTTCATGTTTCGTCTCTTTTTCCTTCCCTTCTTCCCTCCTTTAACCTCAATCCTCTCCTTCTCTCCTCCCTTCTTCTTATCCTCCTTTTCCTTCCCTCCCTCTTCCACATTAAGAGTAAAGAGGAGGAATCTTAGATGTTTCTTTTCCTCACAAATTTCCTAACTTACCTACCTTACCTTACCTTACCTTACTTACCTTATGACTTTCCTTCTCCATTCTCCTCTCTTCCTCCCTTCCACCTCTTCTCTTCCATTGCTTCTTCCTCCCCCAGTCCAAAAATAATGACCATCCTCACCACACCACACCACACCACACCACACCACACCACACCAGCAGGAATCGTCGTCGTGGTGATGATGGCCGAGAGAAGGACTACAGGGCCACAGGAGCGAGTGTACTGTAGTGGCCCAGTATACAGTGGTTTGGTGGAGTCGACTGCTCACCGGGTTCAGTCTCAGTCAGTGTGTGTCGGGCGGTGGTGCGGGGCGAGGTTGTTGCGTCTCCCGTCAGTGGCACCAGAAGCAGCATCAGACCTCTTCCCCTTCAGCAGGCATCATCCTCACTCTCACGGCTCCTCCTTCTGTACCGTGTGTGTGTGTGTGTGTGTGTGTGTCGGGACGCTTATTATAACCTCATCACATGATCTGATAATTATCGCTGAAGAGAAAGTAAATTATATATACCTGTTGAGTCATACGTTGAGATATATATATATAATTATACGTCGTTCGATTATATTTTCCATGGACAGTTTCCAAAGATATTATTCGTGCTCGTGACAAACTATTCTCTCTTCCTCCCTCCTCATTCCTTGGTGATTCGAGTGATGATGTAGTTTAGCTGTTATGGACTTTGCTTATGTTATTATAAAGCAAGATGTATTTTGACACACCTGTACAAATAGCGATACAGGTGTTAATTACCCAATACAGGTGAGATACGAAGGTGTATTGAGCCTTCATGAACTAATTTATATACCTTAATGGGTAAATTTATGATGATTTTGAATATACTGTAATATTTTCTCAAATTTATTCACATCCTCGTAAACATTCTCCAGGTGACTGAATATATATATACATTATTATTAAACATCATCTAATATGTATATAAATATCAATTTGATGTTTGTAATGTTTATATATATATTTTTTAGACAGAAAGACATTTAGGTTTTTATTATTGTCGCTTAGGAACTGTTGAGTCATATGAGTGTTGGTGCTGATGACATAGTTGTGGTGGCTCTATAGGATAGTTGTTGTGGCTCCACCGACCAATAATATAATTTGACCAGCTCCACTTGAACAGCTCCATCGACCAATCATATCACTTGAACAGCTCCATCGACCAATCATATCACTTGACCAGCTCTATCGACCAATCATATCACTTGACCAGCACCACCGACCAATCATATCACTTGAACAGCTCCATCGACCAATCATATCACTTGAACAGCTCTATCGACCAATCATATCACTGAACAGCCCACTGACCAATCATATCACTTGAACAGCTCCATCGACCAATCATATCACTTGAACAGCTCCATCGACCAATCATATCACTTGACCAGCTCCATCGACCAATCATATCACTTGAACAGCTCCATCGACCAATCATATCACTTGAACAGCTCCATCGACCAATCATATCACTTGAACAGCTCCACTGACCAATGACATCACTTGACCAGTGCCATCGACCAATCACATCACTAAACTTGAACAGTCCCACCGACCAATAATATCACTTGACCAGTCCCATTAGCCAATCACATCACTTGACCAGCTCCATCGACCAATCACATCACTTGAACAGCTCAACCGACCAGTCACAACATTTGACCAGCTCCATCGACCAATCAGCGCCCCACAAAAGGTAAACATCACACATGAACTAGAGACGCCATTTGACCCAACTTCCGGGTATTGGGGAAAGTTAAGGAGGCGAGGTTACTGCAGCTGCGTCCCGGGAGAGATGTAACTTACTGGTGGACACGTTAACTTAACACTGGTGGACACGTTAACTTAACACTGGTGGACACGTTAACTTAACACTGGTGGACACTTTAACTTAACACTGGTGGACACGTCAACTTAACACTGGTGGACACGTCAACTTAACACTGGTGGACACATTAACTTAACACTGGTGGACACGTTAACTTATCACTGGTGGACACGTTAACTTAACACTGGTGGACACGTTAGCTTATCACTGGTGGACACGTTAACTTATCACTGGTGGACACGTTAACTTAACACTGGTGGATACGTTAACTTAACACTGGTGGACACGTTAACTTATCACTGGTGGACACGTTAACTTAACACTGGTGGACACGTTAACTTATCACTGGTGGATACGTTAACTTAACACTGGTGGACACGTTAACTTATCACTGGTGGATACGTTAACTTAACACTGGTGGACACGTTAACTTAACACTGGTGGACACGTTAACTTATCACTGGTGACACGTTAACTTAACACTGGTGACACGTTAACTTATCACTGGTGGACACGTTAACTTAACACTGGTGACACGTTATCTTAACACTGGTGGACACGTTAACTTAACACTGGTGGACACGTTAACTTATCACTGGTGGACACGTTAACTTATCACTGGTGGACACGTTAACTTATCACTGGTGGACACGTTAACTTAAGACTGGTGGACACGTTAACTTAAGACTGGTGGACACGTTAACTTATCACTGGTGGACACGTTAACTTAACACTGGTGGACACGTTAACTTAACACTGGTGGACACGTTAACTTAAGACTGGTGGACACGTTAACTTATCACTGGTGGACACTTTAACGTAACACTGGTGGACACGTTAACTTAACACTGGTGGACACGTTAACTTAAGACTGGTGAACACGTTAACTTAACACTGGTGGACACGTTAACTTAACACTGGTGGACACATTAACTTAACGCTGGGGGCACGTTAACTTAACACTGGGACACGTTAACTTAACAGGTAACATTAACTAACAGGCAGACACGTTAACAAGACTGGTGAACGTTAACTTAAGACTGGTGGACTTTAACTACACTGGTGGACAACTTAACACAGTACCAACACTGTAAATACTGTGGACTGTGTAGTGACTGTCGTGTACTGATGACGTGTAGTGACTGTGTGGAACTGTGTGGAACAGTGTAGTGCTGTGGAACTGTGTAGTGACTGTGTGGAACTGTGTAGCGACTGTGTGGAACAGTGTAGTGACTGTGTGGTGATTGTGTGAAAGTGTAGTGACTGTGTGGAACAGTGTACTGACTGGGACTGTGTAGTGACTGTGGAACAGTCTAGTGACTGTGTGAAACTGTGTAGTGACTGTGTGGAACTGTGTAGTGACTGTGTGGAACAGTGTAAAGACCGTGGAACAGTGTAGTGACTGTGTGGAACTGTGTAGTGACTGTGGATCAGTGTAGTGACTGTGTGGAACTGTGTGGAACAGTGTAGTGACTGTGTGGAACAGTGTACTGACTGGGACTGTGTGGTGACTGTGTGGACTGTGACTTTGTGGAACTGTGCGACTGTGGAACTGTGTAGTGACTGTGTGGAACTGTGTAGTGACTTTGTGGAACTGTGTAGCGACTGTGGAACTGTGTAGTGACTGTGTGGAACAGTGTAGTGACTGTCGGGGTGTACTGACTGGGACTGTGCAATGACTGTGTGAAATGTGTAGTGACTGTGTGAACAGTGTAATGATTGTGGAACTGTGTAGTGCCTGTGTGGAACAGTGTAGTGACTGTGGAACAGTGTAGTGACTGTGTGAACAGTGTAATGACTGTGTGCAACTGTGTAGTGACTGTGGAACAGTGTAGTGACTGTGTGGAACAGTGTAGTGACTCTGTGGAACTGTGTAGTGACTGTGTGAAACTGTATAGTGATTGTGTGGAACAGTGTAGTGATGTGGAACAGTGTAATGATTATGTGGAACTGTGTAGTGACTGTGTGGAACAGTATACTGACTGGGACTGTTTAGTGACTGTGTGGGAGTAGTGTAGTGACTGTGTGGAACTGTGTAGTGACTTTGTGGAACTGTGTAGTGACTTTGTGAACTGTGTAGTGACTTTGTGGAACTGTGTAGTGACTGTGTGGGAACTGTGTAGTGACTGTGTGAACAGTGTAGTGACTGTGTGGAACTGTGGAACAGTGTAGACTGTGGAACAGTGTAGTGACTGTCGGGGTGTACTGACTGGGACTGTGTAATGACTGGAAACTGTGTAGTGACTGTGTGAACAGTGTAATGACTGTGTGGAACTGTGTAGTGACTGTGTGGAACAGTGTAGTGACTGTGGAACAGTGTAGTGACTGGGAACAG